TGACGGGTGGTTCTTGAGGAGCCTGCTGCCTGACCTGTAGATTTGGGGATCTGTAAGTGCCTGCGGACCCACGAGCCAGCAGGCTGACAATCTGGGGTTTGTCAGCCCCTGCACACACGGGAGTCAGGAGAAGCCTCTAGCCTAATGCCTGACCTATGAATTTGGGATTTGTCAACTTCCACAACTGCATGAGACATTTCCATGAGAGAAATGTGTGAATAGATGTCATTCATGTTTTTTTTAAGTTAAAAATCTAGATGTAGATATCCAAAACCAACTAATGCCATCTAGTTAATGCCGACTCATGGCGACCCTATAGGACAGGGCAGAACTGCTCCCTGTGAGTTTCTGAGACTATAGCTCTTTACAAGGGTAGAAAGCCCCATCTTTCTACCATGGATTGCCTGGTGGTTTCAAACTGCTAACCTTGCAGTTACCAGCCCAATATGTAACCACCATGCCACCAGAACACACAAACACAATTAAATTGTGAAAAATATAACTCACATCATTGAACAATTGGTATGGAAATTATCAAATGGGAACCTGGTTTGCAATGTAAACTTTCATCAAAAACACAATAAATTATTATCTTAAACTACGTAGGTATATGCAGAGTCTCCAATACATATACTCAAACCAATGGTGATGTATTTTCTGGAATAAAAACTGTTCCACAAGGACAGTTTGTACTTACAGGACAGAGAAACATAATATAATAAATGTGAGTTGGCCCGTAATATTCACCCCCCTGGAATTAAGAGCCAAAACAGCTCCTCTGGACAGATGATTTGAATGTTTATATTAAAAGCAGAATCAGTTCAGACAGAAAAAAGAGCATTACTGTAAAATTATAACATGACGTAGAGAATGGATCCTATCAGAACCAAACTCAGGGAAAATTATGCTGTTGACAAATAATATTACTTTTATCACCTTTCTCAGTTGTGATAGTTATGGGTTTGTGTCAACTTGGCTCAGCCAGGATTCTCAGTGGTTTAACAGTTCAGACCTAGGATTCTTCCATGACCTAATTTAATGCAACCAGTCAGTTATAAGAAAAAAAGGAGAAGACGAGAGCGGGTTGACTGATCTAAAGTTCATGACCTAGAATGAGGGGGCTAGGCTTGTTGAGTATTGGTGAGAGCCCATGGTCTAAAGGCAAGGTGACCAATGGCACCCTGTGGAGGCTGAGTCAGGCAGCCCACATTGAACTGACTAGAACCTGACCAGATGGAGATTTTTGAGCCTGTGAACTGGTGCATATTGTTGTTGACTTTATGGATAGCCTGTCTGGATTTGACTTTGCTTATGAATGCAGACTTCACAAGGTTCCAACTGGAATGCAGATTCTTCATGTCGGAAAATGATCATCTCTTCAGAGCACTGGGTTGATATAAGTGGGCAGTATATAAATTGGATACCTCAAATTGGGGGTATAAAGGCATGAAGTGGTTGGCTTACAAACTTTCATTGGTTGGGGAACATATTCACAGGATTATAGGATTAAGGTGTAGGTGTTACTTAATTGCAATTGTGAGGCTAAAGAATTACGTACAGGTGCCAAGTTGGCAAGGGGTGGATTGATATAGTTAAAGTTTATTGTGCCAACCTGGCCGATAAACACATGTGGGGTTAATTGAAGGGCAGAGAGATGAATG